CATAATGTTATGGAGGAAATACAATTTATTTAAATGTAGAGAGAAGAGTGAAACAAAATGACCACATCAAAAGAAAAATAGTTGGTTCCAAATTAATAGCCAAAATGTTCGGAAAATTAGTCCTAAAATGACAAAATTAGCCCTGGTTGACAGAGGACCATTAAATAACATTTATATGCAAATCTATGATATATTAACTTAAATTTGATTATTTTCGTTTTATTACTTGGCTATTTATTTTATTTAAAATAAATATTTCAGGAAAGAATGATAAAAGGATGTGTAACAGTTGTTGATACGTGCATTAAGTCAATGGGAGATCGTTCAATAGTATAACAAGATGTTATTGCAGACGATATATATTGCTTCTTACTCTTATATTATATACATATGTTTGTGTGTGTTTGTGTGTGTGTGTGTGTGTGCGCGCGTCTGTCAGAGATACCAGATTGGAGCTCTGAAAATATCTCCGCAACTCACCCAGTCTAAAAGAAATAGAAAATACAATACACCCAATGGTCTCAGGCGGAGCCCCGCGTGTTGATAGGCTGCAGGCTGCCAGCTGAAATTTTCTGCCTGGTCGAGGTTTATAGGACATTTGGAAAAATTAATCAGTGCCCCAGAATTGTAAAAGTGGCTTCATCGTCAATATCTTCAAGGTGATCATTCAAACTGTGATGGCCATGACAATGACGTCACTGCCTCACTGCCAGGCTTGCAAAAGCAGGAGGTGCATTTGGTAAATTGAACAGACGGATGTGGAAAGAGCAGTGTGCCTCTTGAATACCACGATTGTTGTATTCAAAGCTGTGGTGCTTTCTACTTTGTTATATAGGTGTGAGGCCTGGACCACCTAACGACGTCACACACGAAAATTCCACTAATTCCACATTAAAATCTTCTGCAGAATTTTACGCGCCAATGGGAAGATGTGATATAGCCAGTGTTGAAGCCTTCATTCTTAGGACTTAGTTTAAATATATGTATATATAAATATATGTATATATAATTTTTATTTATGTATGTTTGTATGCGTGTGTGTTAGGTGTGTGTGTGTGTGTGTGAAGTTCGTGTTAATTATTCAGAGCAAAAACATGTCAGATGTTACACTGGCTTCTCGTTAATTTGACTGAATCACTCGACGATTGATACGAATGCGAACGTATCCGAGTTGTACGATGATGTTGAAAACAAAACCAAAGAAATGTAATAATTAAATCTACTGGATCAGCTGTTGTAGAAATCTTTCTTAGCTACAATTCACATCGCATGATAAACGCATCTCACTAGTATATACACAAACGATTGAAAATAAAACAAGCTGGCAGCGTAATATGCATTCATGTGCATATGCGTGTTTGATTACACGTCGACCTGAGCAACAGATTGCCGACTCAAGGGTGATACAACATTCGTCCGCAAAGTTTTATCGGATTTGATTATATCGAAAATGATTTGAAGCCCGTTTAATACACACTTACAAAAGCTATCGAGACCATTAGTTAATCGTAAATATAATTCATTCTACATCTTCTTAAACATTGCTAAGCACACTTTATATTTTAAAGTTAGGCTGCATCGTTCAAAATTCAAGCTGAACAAATACTTTAGCATTCTTGTCAAGAAGGAAGTGATTTGGTGAGCAGAACAGCAAAGCAAGCAACAACCAAGTGACGTGAAGAAAGTTGTATTGTTGAAACTTAACTCGGATCCAAAAGCCAGCAAACATAACTGGCGCCTACTTTCTCAAAAATTTACCTACAACTGATAATTTATTTTAGGATATGACATTTTTCAAGATAAATCATGTTGGTTTGAGCGTTTTTTGAACATTAATCTTGGCACTAAAATGATAATTTAAAAAAATGAAAATATCTTAAAAATTAGTTAACAGATATATTTTCAAATAAAATAAATGAAATCTTTGAGATAATTATAAACAATTTTTTAAAAATGTGTGAAAGTTAATTCTTTAAAAATATAGTAAATTTTCATTTTCAATTCCAGCCAGGAGATGGACACAACAAACGACGATGTTTAACCAAATTAAAATATTACAAAATCAATTAAGTTTAATTTCAATTAACACAAAAAAATAGTTGTCATGCGTCATAATGGTGATGTCAAAAAATCATTATAGATTATAAATAAAACACTTATGTGTTGTACTGTGTGCATGTTGTGTGCCTGTGTGTGTATGTGTGCATTTGTTATTGTGTTTGAATGTGTGGGAAATCAATCAATCAATTAGCTTATAAAGCGCTATTTCCGCAATGTTCAACAACGCTCCTCAATGAATTTTGAAAACAGATGGGTCTTGAGATCCGCTCTGAACTTTGCAAGTGATGGAGAAATAGTTAGAGAAGTAGGTAGAGAGTTCCAGAGAAAAGGACCAGAAAAAGCAAAAGCAGATTTGGCAAAAGAGTGTTTAACACGAGTTAAGAAAAAGCGAGAAGACGATCGTAAACCGGGGCGTTTAGGTTCAATTAATATATCTGATAAATACTTAGGAAATAATTTAGATTGAGACTTATACATGAACGTGCAAATTTTAAAAATTATTCTATATTTTATAGGTAGCCAGTGCAAGAGAACAAGATGTGGAGATATATGAGAAAAGAAAGGGGCACGAGCAACTAGACGAGCAGCAGAGTTAAAAGCTTTACTTAAAGGGTAGAGTATAGAGTCAGGAAGACCATAGTAGAGCGAGTTACAATAATCAACCCTAGATAAGACTAACGAAGTAACAAGAAGGAGAAGAGTAGGATCATCAAGGAAAGGCAAAAGTTTTTTTATTCTACGTAGATGAAAGTAAGAGCTTCTAGCAACACTATTAATCTGAGAAGAGAGAGACATAGTAGAATCAAAGATAAAACCTAGACTACGAAACTTATGAGACATCAAGAGTTTTAGAATCAGGTAAGATAATAGGAGGAATAGTAATAGAGTGTTTAGATTTATTAAAACAAATTAATGTAAACTTAGAAGGATGAATGTAACTAAAAATAAATGTAACTATAAAATACAAACAGAGATTTCACGTACACACAACTTTCGTGCGCACAACCTTCATCCGCCTATGCAACGAGTGCACTCATTTAATCCCTGCCTGTCCTGTTGCACAACATCTGTGACGACTTAGCTGCATCTGCATTGCAAACCTCTTTGTCCGTAATAATAAAATGTTATTGATATTTCGTAATAAATTAACCAGAATTAAAAATTAGAATACCGATGGCGAGTTAGCTTGAACGTTTAAAATTATGCAAATGCCTCCATGTCTTCATCATTGTGTGTGCACGAAATCTGGCAAGAATAATGATGAAGACATGGAGGCATTTGCATCAATGAGCAATCTTTTGCAAGGAACGTTTGTATACCACTTGATGATTTTCCTATATGGGTTTTTTTTTATAAGTTTCCAGATAAAATTTAAATATAATCTAAGCAAAGCATCGGACTGAAACAATATGATGGGTCGATTTCAGCAAAAAGTTCCATAGTTAACAATTTTGAAAATGTCTTATGCCTATTGCCTAACACTTTACGTAGCTTCTGCCAACCATAAACGAAATAAGGTTCTCATTGAGAAAACTTGTTCAGCCTATTGGTTAATCAATTTCAATCTCAACCATTTATCAATCAATCAACCAATCAAGTTAACGGTTCTTCTCAACATTGGGTCAGCACACTCATTCGCTGTTTGAAGGCGCGTACCTGAGCGTAATTGCAGGTTTAATTTTAATGTTGGGAACCGTTTTACGTTGTGAGCCGCTCAATATTTTAAATCGGCACACATATAACAACAGCTAACATCATCAAATATAACAGTAGGCCTGGTTACATTTACAGATTAAACAGTTGAACTTTTGGACAAAAATTAGATTTCATAAAATCATCGCGTTGTTTAAAACCAACCACATTTTTATAACCGTCACAAATATATTCGCTAGAGGCGCATACAGCTCGAGGAGAAACTAGAACCTTCTGACAGCGAGATACCTAGGACGTTCGAGAAGCGTCGGTGGAACGGGTGTATAAGACGTGCGAGATATTGAATGGTGGTTATTGAATATTTGATTTTAGAAAGCGATCGATTGTTAGTGTTGAAGACGATATTTGTTATTTTACACTGCGTTGTTTTGTTCTATTGTATTTGCGATAAACGTTAGTAAATTTTTATCCGTTAATTTGATATTTTGTGAACATTAACTTCTATTAGTAAAATTAATTAGCGTTGATTATTGATTAATTAATTAATTAACTATTGTTTTATAAATAACTAAATCGATAATTTAGAAGGTCTTTCTTTTTGACATATACATTCTGTCACATTCTGACGTATATGACAGTATTCATAGGATGATGTACGTGTGAGCATGCGTTTGTGTATATGTATTTATTTGACATTTCTGTTACATTTATAGTAAGAATTTGTGTGTATGTATTTATTTGACATTTCTGTTCCATTTACAGTTGGAATTCTTAGTTAAGAGTGGACTATCCACAAGTTTATCTTTTTTGCTTATCCTTCAAATAAATAAACATAAAAAATAAATTTTCACTGGGATTAAACGAACTCGTCGTCGGTCGGGACAGTTACAACAATGAATCAGACCGTGGACAAATGTTAACAAAATTATTTCGGCATACTCGAATTCAAATACTCAACATAGCAAATCGATTAAATATTTAGCTTTATTAACTATTTGTTAATTAAATTAACCGTGATTTATACTGCCAACCAGCTTATAAGATTTCTTTGCGGTCAACTTTGGGTTTATCAAAAGAACATTATATCAACTATTTGATGCACGAATGGTGAAAGCATTTCAAGATTTTATTCTCATTAAACATCGAGTTCTCCAAAGAAATAAAAATCAGTACATTAATATTAATACAATTTTAAATGCCCAGTCACTTTATTAACTAAATCCAACGGACCTGTAAATAAAAAAAAGCATTTTATGTAATTATTATTATATTAGTTTATACAGAGCCCATTCAAGTTTTCATAAACGCTTTAAATTTTTTGTGCCACACGGCACAAAGACTGAACTTTCCATAGCACACGACGTATACATACAATATGTAAGCACGCCCAAGTACATCATTACACACGCATGGCGTACGATAGCGTTTGAGTTTCGGACAGACAGTATTCGAACCAGACCACCGCAAAACTGCACGAGAAGACTTGGCACTTTTACCGACGACCGAGTTAACTCGCCGACCTGAGTCCTCGTTTGACGTAAACGATCGTATCAAAAATATTTCATCACATAAAATAACTGATCATAGGAAGAAATTTAAATTAGAAACTATGATGCCAACCTGGTCCTATGCCAACAACTGTTTTACTGCCGGGAGCAATTTGTGTTCTGCCAGCATCTCGTACCATACTGACTGGTAAACGTAACAACCTTGCCTGGGCAGCTAACCTCAGCCTGTTGATGTCAAAATAAGGTAAGCGACTAACTATAAAAATTTGCAATTAGAATCTTTGAAAATAAAAATAGCTGTAAAAGCAGACAAGTTTGTAAGAAGTGGACAATAAACAGAGGTGTAGGTGTACTTGACTGGTTAATTTAAAGTGGAATCTTTTTATTTTTTGTTTTTAATTAAACAAAGATTGTGCAACTTTACGCAAATATATTGCCTCCAATGTTAATAAGAACGTTTACAAAACTTTTTGGTTTAAACGTAGTCCTTCAGGCTTAATAAACCTAACAATATTTTCTGAATCAACCTAATGATTTAGTTTATTTTTCCATTGAATTGCTCAAAACTATTAAAAAGGATTTCAATCAACAAATGTTAGTATTTTATTTAATGTCAATAAACTTCAAAATTGACTAACAATTCTTCTTCACTGTCACACTTGACAACAACTTTTGGTTGTCCATTGTATTTATATTCTTTGTATAATTCTGGAAAGTTCAACATCAAATATTCATTGGCCATGACAGCTGCATGTGAACACTGTTTATAAAAAATGTTTTTAATATATTAGCCTAAAATGTGAAATTAATTTAAAAAAAAATTTTCAATAACTCATGCAGTTGCAAACAAACAGTTTATTTTCATCAAAAATCCAATTAAATGAATGCTGCAATCATAAGCAGTTTTATTTAAGAACAATTAACTGTGATGAGGCAGATCATAATAGAAAAAAATCTTTTAGTCACAAATGCTTCCAGTGCAAATTTTTGTTTCGGAGAGAAAAATTTATTTTATAACAATTCAGTGTTGTAAACAAAAAATCAAAAGTTTAGCTCTTCAAGATTATAAATGAAGGTCAGAATAACAAATGCTGAAAGCTGAGCACCCCTGACATTAAATTCTGAAAGTCACTTTTTGGAAGTTTTTAACAATGTATGGCTTAATCTAAAAGTAAATAAAGCATATTTAAGTTTATGTTCAAGCACATTAGCGTAAATTTCGTAAATTTCGGTTAAACTTAAACAGGATGTACCACAAAATGATAATAATGATTACTGTAATAAAACAATTTGTAACAAAATTTAGCCACAAGTTTCAAATGAGATAGAAGACAAAGATGAATGAGGCAGATGAAACAATGTTTTATACTTGAGCTGCCACTTTGCCTTTACCCATTTTTAAATCATTCCTTACAACCAACACCAACTTGCATTCTCCGCTGTCTCCCATTTCAGAGGCTTCGGGCTAAAAAAATTATTAACGAAATATGGTTTAGTAATTCAAATTTTTTAGTAACTTCAATCATTATTTTCAATAATTTAATACAAAAAACATGTAATTAAATTCTATCAATTTATAATGACAAAAGTTAAATTTTATAAGTTTAATAAAAATTATTTCAAGAATCATCAAGCATCAATATGACATTAAATTTCTATAACAGGTTTTTCCATAATTAAAACATTTTTCAGATCATTCAACTACAATTTAAATAATGTAAATTTACTAAACTATGTATAGTAGAGAATAAGCAACTTGAAAATGTTTCACATGTCACTATGGGACACAGTGAAGTAATAAAACAGCAGATGGTTGAATATTTATTATTAAAAAAACTAAATAGCAAAAAACGTATAACATCACAGAAGTGACATAAAAAATAATCCAGCCGTTATTAAATTCATTATTCATATTCAATATTCATTATTCATAAATTCATTATAATTAATGAATTAATTAAATTATTGATTAAATTAATTAATTAATGATAAAATGATAATTCAGTTAAATTAAAAAACATTTAATTTATTAAATCAAAATAAAAGTGACATTTAAATAAACTTTCTCTAATATCTAATTCATTAATCATTTTAAAAGTAAATTTAAATTTAAAAAAAAAACATTATTTGCCAAATTAAAAATTTAATTTTGTCAAACTTTGATCAAAGAGATAGATGTCATCATATCCTAAAACTAGCCTCCTAGAGTTTTAGGTTAAATTTTAACCGTTAAAACTCTCTTAGAATCTTATATTTTTTTATACTTTTACAGATATAAAGTACAATCAATCAATAGATTTATTTATTGATAGAGTAGACGATGGAATAAATAAATATATATATATATAAATAATTATATTAAATTATAATTAGAATGTCGCACGCTTTTGTAAATTTTTTACCACTAATTATAACTGAAGTAAAAACAAGCACAAGAAGATAGGTAGGGAAAAGAAAACAAACCTCATTACCATTTTCTAGAAAAGGTATTCTGGTTGCAACTAACTGAACCTTCCGTCTTCTTAATATTGCCCAAGCAACTCCACATCCACAGCCAAACCCTATGAAAACTGACAGAAAGTATTTGAAATCGTACATTGCTGGCCTGAGCGATGTAAGGAACTTTAAAAGTAAACAACAGCACAGTATAAATAAATCTACGAAATTGAAAGAAATTATAAAATTACATACTAGATCTTTGTTTCGATACGTATTCATATAAAAGCTTGCCAACCTAATTCTGATAATCGCGACGGGATTGAAGTGACCGCAATGAAGTTTCGAGCATGGACATTCATTTTATTTAACGGTCATATTTCGTATACCGATAAACAGCGACATATAATAAGAGACATTACAACAACGATTTAATATGACATTTCATTGAAAAATTCTTTGAGTGTTTTTAAAAAACTCATTTGACTGCAGCATGCAACGAGAGTAAGGCTGAGCCAACAATTATGTCTAGTAAAAAACGTTTTACACGCATGCGTTGACAACATCAGGAAATAATCTTTTATATCATTGTTACAAGAAACGTTAGATGAAATGAAACCAGCGGCATTTAACAATAAGAATCATCAGTACAAAAAATGTGTTATTGCATTTTTCTATAATTATACTGCAATGCAACGAAAGCTTAAGAGGTGTTGGCGTCACACGTTGTCACATGAAGATGTCGCTTGTCAACCAACAAGAATATGATTATGATTATTGGAAAGCCATGTGATCAAGACCAAAATGTTAAATCAGTTAAAACAAAGAAATTTAACGTGAAAAGCCACATACTAATTCTCGCCAATAAAAAAAATTACATGCTTTTTTTATATAAACATAAATAATGATCACAAACATAAGCGTAGATTATGAACCTAATAACAAATAATAAATTCACCACTCATTGCCAGACAAAATAGGTTTTTCTTTAGCACTATTATACAAGTTTGTGGCAATTTGTTTGTAACGTATGGCTTGTTCTTCATTTTTTTCAACTCCATCCCCCAATTTATACATACGACTAACATTTGCACATGCATAGGGATTGTCACGTTCACAAGAAATAACAGCATATTTGAAAGCAAGTTCTTTGTTCTGTGGAACATCTTTTTCTCCTTTTAAATATAAAGCACTCAACCTAAAACAGCTATGTGCATCACCATAGCTGCAACCTTTGGTCAAATTTTCTTCCACTTTTTTAAAATCTATTTTTTTATCCTTTGTCTTGCCTTCCTGATGCATAAGAGCATAGTTGTGGCAACTGGGACCATCTCTGTATTCACATCCTCTTTCAAACGACTCAAACGCTTTCGATTGGTTCATATCACAACCTGGTGATTAAAATTTTATTAAACATAATAACAAGCATATATTTATTTGTTTATGAACACCAACCAAAATGCCTTAATAATAGATATGAAAGAAATACAAAATAAATTTAAAAACTGTTTAAAAATAGTTGCAAGCAATAGCACATTAACTTTTTCAGAATAATAAATAAGGTGAATGGATTAAAAAACGGAGAAAACTTAAAAAATGTGGCTGTATTTTTATTAACATTAAAATGTGCAAGTAACAAATATTTAAATAGAAATTGAGTGGTGGAATATCAATTTTTTATAAAACCTTTTCCAGCAAGATTAAAGATTCCCACTTTAAAGCAACTAGGCCCATGCTTATTTTTTGAACAATTAAATTGAAAAACTGCAAACGCTTTCTGCCAATCTTTCAAAACTGTTTCCAGGAAACTTCCTAGCCGATGACAACCATCTGGTGAATTTTCATTATAACACTGAAAACGATATTCAATACCAATTCTATCTAAATACTCTTTGGCTTGAGCCTCATCTTTCAAATCATAACTATCTGGAATAAGATCATGAAATTACGTGATTAAATCAAAAAAGTATGTTCATAAAAAAACATTGGCATGATAGAAACAAGAAATTCTTTTTGATTCACCAAAATAGTTTGAATTATTTTTGTAACTCCATACATTAGAAGGCTGTTTGTAAATCAGCCAATAAATCTTTTTCAGAAAAGCACATGATTTATGGAAATATGGATACTATTGTTATTTAAAATTCTATCATAAAAAATTCTCAGAGGTCTCAGCAATATTCAATCAGAGCATGACTCATTGTGTGTTCATTTTATCACAAACAAAAAAAATTAACATTAGTTTTCTTATATTGAGATGAAATCTTCCAGTAATATTTTTCCTTAAAAAAACACTAAGTAGACGAATTAGACAGACAAGCCATATCAATGAGACCAAGCATTGCTCAAAATGAAATGTCAAAAACTGAGGCAGCTTTGGCACTACCATACCTCATTATAATTTTTTCAAGTGTCTTCAAAAAGTGTAGTCAAAATTTCTATTGAACGTTGATGTGCAAATGGCACTTACAAAGCCATGAACAATAAAAAATAAAGAAGACATAAGCAAGTGTAAATGAAAAAAACAAGAGATAAAACTTGAACCATTATTTATAAACTGATTTAAGATGAATGGGGGGAAAGTAGCCGTAAAGGTAAACATTAGGTTTTGGTGTTTACAGTTTTTTGTTATTTTAAAATAGCATACTCTATTTACGACTAAGCAGAAAATAATATGGTTTAATTACTTTATCAAATGAGTTTTCTAAATATATATGTATGTATATGTATTGTGTTGATCATGATATTCTACTGCGGAGATTATGTGAAGATTTTGGTGTAAAGGGAACAGTACTCGCATGGTTCACATCATATTTTTAAAATTGTACTGAACAGATTTTTTACAATAAAACCTGGTCTAGAATTAAGAACATAAAGTTTGGAGTTCCTCAGGGGTCGGTGTTGGGACCAATATTGTTTCTGTTGTACACACATGAGATCCTGGATGTCATCAAGTCCTTTGGATTCACCGGGCATGCCTTAGCTGATGATATACAGATTATTGTTAGTTGCCCGGCAGAGGAGTTTGATGAGATGGGTAACAACTTAACACGTTGTCTGGTAGAGGTCAATAAATGGATGATTAAAAACAGACTAAAACTTAATCAGAGTAAAACAAAACTACTACCGGTAGGAACCTGGCAACAGCTTTCAAGAATAAATATCTCATCACTGGATATAGATAATGTCAAAGTGGAATTCTGTACAAATGCTTCAAGTTTGGGCGTTAACATTGATTCTAAGTTAACGTTGGATCATCACATAAAATCATTGATGAGAGTTTGCACCTTCCAACTACATAGGTTGAAATTGATAAAAAAAATCGCTAGACGAAAATACTCTTAAGATGTTAATGCATGCATTCATCCATTCGCGTTTGGATTATTGTAACAGTTTGTTCAACGGCTTACCAGAAAAATCATTTGGGATGTTACAGTCAATTCAAAATTGTGCGGCTAGAGTTGTGTCTGGCGCCTTTAAATACGACCATGTTTCACCAATTTTAAAGCAACTACATTGGTTCTGTTCTGTTCAAAACTTGTGTATTAATTTTTAAATGCATCAATAATTGTGCACCTAGATATTTGATAGACAAAACAACACGAAGGGCACCTCATTATGTCAATTTGCGATCTGATGAGTCAAATTACCTGACAGTACAGACAAGCCAGTTAAGAATATGATCTAGAAATTTTGCTGTTTTGGCTCCTAGGATATGGAACAATCTCTCAAGCCACTTACGGGATCCTAGTCTGAATTTGTTGACATTTAGAAGGCTGTTAAAGACTTATTTGTTTTCATCCTAACATTTGTTTTTGTTTTTGCATTTTGAGAGCGCTTTTGATAAATTTTACATTTTAATTGGCGCTACATAAGTTGTAATAATAATAATAATGTAAAATTATTACTTTAACATAAAATTGGTATAAATCATGGAATACAATTAAATTACATAACTTTAGTTCAAATCAAACCAGTAAAAGGTGAGCAGCTATTGTCTCTTTAAAAACTAACAAAAAACCAATAGCTTTGACATTTGCCTTTTCATTGTGATTAAGAAATAGACTTTTAAAGACAAAAAGGAGTCAAAGTAAAAATTTCATTGTATAGTTTTTTCAAGCTAGACTACCTGCTATTTATATCATTTATTTATTTCATAAAAGGCTGAAATAAATAAAGCACTACCTAAATTTGAAAATGATTGTATTTAATTTTTTAAAAGCATTGGCATTGGCTAACTACTTACTCAACTAAATTAAAAAATTAAAGTATTAAACGAAGCAATATTAAAATATCGAAATATAAATTAATGGAATTTTCATAATGGTGAATTGAAATTGAATATGATGAACATTAAGATTAACTTTATAATTAGATTATTAGCCATTAGAATCTAATGTTAATTGTTAATCTAAAAATCTAATCATTAGATTCTTAGATTAAAAATTAAAACAATTAAAATTAGTTTAATTTAACGTAAAAATAAAAATAATTTTAAAACTATTAAAATCCGCCTAAAATGGCCCGGTTATATTTTTTATGGTTTTTTAGTTTTTACCTACTGAGTGGCGTTTGTTCCCTCATTTCTGATAGTTTTATGATGACGAACAATTGTCGAATTATTTCTGACAAAGAATAATATTCAACAGAAAGTTGCCGATTCAAGCGCTCGGTCGGCTACACAAGCAAGACTCATCAAACAAGAGTGAACGATAATTGAAAAGTTAAATGCGGCAATCAAAGACAGTTAAACGTATCCCATATACACATTATTTTATTCTGAATACATACGAACGAAGCATAAGCAATAAATATGCAAAAGAAACATTTTCACGACAGAACTCCGCAAAAATGATTTTATTCTATACATATATTGAATAAGCCACATCAACTTAAGTAAGGAAAAATCGTGCATATTAGCCGATATGGTATTTTTACGTCAGCCTGACACAACACTACTTGCTCTACCCAATCGCGCTAGTCAAAATACAGAGAGGTAACGCCATTTACTTAATCGAAAGTTATTGGAACGAATAAGACATCATCTCGCAAATCTATCACGTCACATCATTCTTATTTTTCCTTTTTTAAGCACATCAAACGGACGAACTGCCACAGGAATTTTTTCTTGTTTCTTAGTCGTTATTAAAAAATTACTTTATTGGCCACCTGATAAAACTCTGCAAAATATATCAAAGATGACAATATGTATCTTGCCTGCGAGTAGCCATCAGCAGTTAGCCTTAAATTCTCAACCATTTTTTTTCAACTGTTAGGAATACTCGCATTTCGCTTACTTGAAATATGCACTATTTTTTTAAACACATATAATCATACACGTTATCCCTCACATATGACCCTCTACATGTTTAAAACTTTTACAATGCACGCGGTTCCACCGCTAAAAAAATTACATGCGGTACTTTTGGACTGTGGCTCGTCAGAATACTATGATATAATCCTCGTTATTCATATGAAACACGGAGTATGAAACATCACCCGAGCCACGTCAACGTCAAATCAGCAGCCATTAAAATGTTTTTGAAATATCTTTGGATACAATTCAGTTAGAAAAGCCCCATACACACTTTTCAAATTTTATGTACCCAGCAACAGTCGACCGATAGGAATTAATGTCCTCCGGCTCGGCTTATTTGCTGGAAAACCACTCCAGTTAATGCTAATTACAATAAAAGTTATAAACAAAGTTTGCAAAAATAGGCAGTAAATCAGAGTTGGATCTCTTGTGCGATCACGTGGTAATCATACGAGAAAATGTTAGTTTCCTCATGTTACATGCCAACATTTTGCAAAGCGAAAATAAAAAGTAAACAAATTAAATAAAAATATTCACACTAATAAACGGAATGTACATAACAACAATGTAACTAATACTTAAAAATGAAAAACTAGAAGCACAACGCAAAAACGTGCTCGGCACGGCCAACGTTGAACGAGAAATGAAATGAACGATTACAGGAAACGGGTTATATTTATAATAAAAAAGCAAAGAAATTATAACCACTTAAGTCAAAAGCTTTTGTTGGTGTTTCATAATATTTATTTATTTTGAATTTTTTTTAACAATACTTATTGTTAATAAATAAATTTGTTAATTTGGTGAATTAGTTTTATTTGGTTGAATTAGTTTTATTTTTTCAAATTTGTAAAACTTAGAATTAATTTTTTGTCGCCATAGTTACCGATCTCAGTTCCGTAAATAAAATTAAATTTGATGTACTTTTCATTGCGTAATTTAAATAACAGAAAATTATTTCAATCTCTTGTCAACAAAATGTCATTTGGTGATGGAATTTTTTCAAATACTGAACAAACAAAAAATGAAAATCTTAACAAAGTTGATATTGATAGTGACTGCGATGACGAAAATACAACAAGAACAAGGAGAGCACCTAACCAGCTGATGATTGAAGTGAAGTTTTTAAATTCAATAATTAATATTTGTTAACGGTGTATTAGTTCTTTTTTTTTAAATTTGAACTTTCATCTTACAAATGAACTATACTATATATAATAGACATAGTTCTACAACAGCCACAGGTTCATTTGCATTTGAAGTTTAAGATTAACCTACTTAGTCCTAGTTAAGTCTAGTAGATTGAGATTGGAAGGAGACTTTTTGTGTAGTGCACTCTTGTTTCTAGTGAGGTTTTCAAAAAAGTATACACTTAATTAAACAATTGTAATCTACAAATCTACCAGAGAATTCTTTAAAATATTGTTTGCTTTTATGGATTATGCATTCTATTAATTTAAGTTTAAATAATGTTTTATTTTTGTTTTATCAATTGGCTTAAAGTTTTATTCATTAAAATCAAGTTTGTTGGATTAACATGTATGTATTTCAAGAATGAAATAGTTCTTATTTTATGTATTCAGTTCTTAGATTGCATTATGAATGAAGATTTTGAGATCGGTTTGAAACTTGGACAAATGAGTTAGTTCTTGAATTTAATTTTTTATTTTTATTCAAAATAAAATATAATATAATACTGCACATGGAAATTATTTGAGTAATATTGAAATACACAATCTGAATAGTTTTATTTTGAATAGTGTCTTAAGTTTCCAAAAAACATGTTTAATCGGTTGAACTGTTAAACCTTATTAAATTGTTATAATAAATTTTCCATATAATAATTTATTAGTTTTTGCCATACTTTTTAAAAAATGATTATTAACGTTTGCTTTTAAGTTCTAATGTATGAACCGAACAACCTGCAAGTAAAACAGTTCAACTCATTATTAATTGAAAAAATGGCTCAAAGTAAGAATACTGCATTGATCAGTTAATTTAACAACACATTGAAAATTTTAATTT